TGTTTAAACAATTAATATAATAATGGTTTATTAAAAACAAAATCTATTTAACACACAAGTTCTGTTGATGTCAGTGGTATGAAGGTGCTCAGGACTTAGTGGTTGTGGTACATATGATTCTGCTGCACTCCGGTAAGTGATTCCTGATCTGTATTCTTGGACCGGATTGTGTGTTTTACAAGTGTCTTTTGAGGTTAGTAATGAAGGTCAAGAATGACTGTGTGTGGCTGCAAATAGTAGTGCTTATTGCTGTAATTTTTGGTTTTTCGAATCGTTTGAGTAATACTAGCTCATGTGTAAGGATACCCTTACTAATTATATGGATGTTATTTATCACATATAATCATTAAAATTGGTTTACAAAATCATAGAATTTGTAGAACGTAACAGCTAACAGTATTAAGTTCTAATGTTGGAATAAAAGTGCCGAGTAGTTACTAATTTCAAGGAACTGCAGGAAAACCATTATAAATTTAACTAATTTTCATTCCAACAATTTAGGTAGCCATAATTTAATCATCTGGCAATGTTGGCTGTTGTAAATTTCTTGTTTGGTTGAATTGGTGCATATCCTCAATTAATATATTTTTTTACTAGTGGAATGACTATTTTCCTCGCTTCTGTCTCCAGAGCTATTGTAATAGTGAGTTATTGCTTTTGTTTTAGCTGCGACTTGCAAAATACTCTCCAAAATCAATGTTTGATACTTGGCCAAAAATAAACTCAGGGACATTTTTTAAAGCTCTGGAAGACCTCTAAAAAGACTGTTGTAATGTTTCATCTTAATTTCATTTATTGCTAAGAATAATCAAAAAGTACTTTAATAATAATTTTGTAAAGAAAAATTGTCACGCAAATCACTAATAGTGTTTTATGATTTATGATTTTTATCATATAGGCATTACGCCAACTACTAAGTCTATATTTTGTGATTCAAAAAAAAGCCTCCGAGTACTTGGTCTGTAAACTTATTTAACAACAACACACTGGGAACGGTTTCCTCCTAAGTGTAATGGTTTACCGGCCATATCGTAAAATGTCTAGTACACTTCTAATCGATGACAATTATTTCTTGATTGTTTCATAAAAATTGAATTGTGTGGATTTTGAGTTGTGTTTAATCAATCTAAAATCTAGTTATCTTCGGTGGTATTTAAACTTGCTGTTTTATTTGCTATTTCAATTGGGCAATCTCATCTATTGTTGTAGTTGTAACCGAGGAATTAAGTTCACAAGAAATGTGTGTTTAAAACATTATTTTCATTTCTTAAACCCAGTTTTCATATTCATGTTTTCATTAGACAATACTTTCACCAGGGATATTTAAACATCATAAAACTTATGTTATCAATACTATAATAATTTTAATTTTCTTAAGTAGGGATTACATTACTTATATTAATATTTTTTAATTAAAATATGGATAATAAAAATATCATAATATTAGAAGTTATAACAATACACAATTCAGATCATTGTTATTATTAGATTTGCAATTTTGTAAAAACAATTAATAGATGCACTGAATTAACAAGTGCTCAGATTACAAATCATCTATAAATAATTATTAAAAACAAGTAAATAATAAATTTAAGATAAAATAAAAATAAATCCAATAAAATAAAATCCAATTTAAGTATACACAAATGTAATGCACATATCAATTATTTAATTTGTTTAAAAAAGTGAACTACATTATGGCCAGAAACTTTAGAAATGGCTTAATACTGTAATTTGTATGCTCCAACGAGTTGTGTGCCTGGTAGATTAGAAGATGACAGAACACAAGTCACATATATTAATTTTATTTCCAATAACTAGTCTTAAAACTTTAGCCGAAACAGGTTTTTGTAGCAATGGCACTTTACAACTCAAACATTTAGATAACATATTCTTCATATGCAATTTAATATGAAGTGACAATTCCTTTTTTTCAAAAAATAATTTAAAACATATAACACATTGAAATGCATCATCGGTGTGTATTTTTCTTTCATGATTTATACGTTTTAATTTTGTTGGAAAAGATTGATTACATATTTTACACATCAGTAAAGCCTTTTCAATCATGTGAGTCTTTTCGTGTTTATCCAATTCAGTTTTTTGTAGATATGAAGTACCACATATGCTACATTTGTAAGGATTGTTTTTAGAATGAATTTTCATATGGCTCATAAAACTTGATTTTTGTAAAAATTTAGTCTTACAAAATCTGCACCTAAAATTTGATTTAAAGGCAAGATGGGTTTTTATGTGTTTAATCAAATTTGATTTTTGTTTAAGGACTACTCCACATAGGTCACATTTATATTTTTGTCCAACACTATGAGTTCTCATATGTGACTGTAAGAAAGCCTTTTGAGCAAACCTCTTGTTACATTCGAGGCATTTAAAAGGTTTTTCACCAGTATGTAATCGTAAATGATCAATTAGCTTATTTTTTTGAAAAAATGATGTTTTACACTGACTGCATTTATACAATTCATGATCTCTGTGAGTTTTTAAATGGTAAGAATAACTTTTCATTTGGGAGTATGTCACTAAACAATGAGGGCACTGATATGGTCTATTTCCACTGTGAGATTTCATATGAGTATTTAAAAGTGACTGTAATATAAAACTTGCGTCACAAAGCAGGCATTGAAATGGTTTGTCACTGGTGTGAGATTTAGTATGGCTTTTTAGTTCTGCTGATGTAGTAAATGTTGATCTGCAGAGATTGCACTCATAAGGTCTCTTTCTCATATGAACTTTTATATGGGCAAGTAAACCTGATTTCCGATAAAAGGATCTCTTACACATATCGCATTCAAACATCTTTTCACCAGAATGGATCAACAAATGTCTTTGTAAACTTGATTTATAAGCATAGGTTTTGTCACAAATATGACACTTTTCTAATTGCACGGTATTATGGACTCTCATATGATTCTTCAAAAATGCTTTTCTATAAAAAGTTTGGTCACAAATATTGCATTTAAAAAGTTTTTCACCTGTATGACTGTGTTTTTGATGAAAAACTAAACACGATTTCCGAGAAAATTCTCTAACACAAACTTCACACTTAAATGGTTTAATACCAGTGTGTTTCCATTCATGGTAGTCTAATAACGACTTATGACCAAATTTCATTTTACAAATTCGACATGAATAGGGTTTATATCCTGTATGTGTTCTCATATGACACATCATATTTTGCCTCTGAGCAAAAGGTCGTTGACAAAGATCACAAGTGTATGGTTTTTCTCCGGTATGGCTCCTTAGGTGTACGGTTAAATTTGATTTAACTGAAAACTTCTTAGAACAGTATATGCAGTCAAAAGATATTTTCTCGCCAGGTATTCTTGTCACGGGTAATTCTTCAGGATAATAATTAATTCTTATATGTACTCTCTGGTGTTCAACCCAATATTTTCTTTTTGGAAATGATAATGTACAGAGGTGACAGTCAAATGATTTTTTCTTGGGATCGATATCAGATAACATTAATTGAGATCTTTCAGGCTCAATTTCAATATTGTTGCCAAGTACCATACCATCAACAGGGTCAACTTCACATTCAACATCATTAAAATTAGAAGTCTCGACATTTTCTTTAGAATTAAATGAACTGAAACAAAAAATAGAATTATTTGTTATTTCACTGTTATAAAATAGATCAATAACCATTAACCAGTTTGAAACTACCAAATAATTCAATAACTATAGGTACAACATAGATACTACGTAACAAAAGTACAGTAAAATAATGCAGCAGATTTGAAAATCATTTGGAGCAAGGCACTTATACATTTAAGGATACATGTATATTAATTTTATATCCTAAAATAATCATTAAGAAAAAAATTGAATAGCTTAATAAATGTTAGAATACAATAATTACCAATTATTTATTACGCACTGAACAATTGTGTTTATATAATATTAAATATTTTGTTATGAGTGTCAAATTACTACGATTGTATAAGTTCGTGATTGTTAGATAAGAGTAGGTAATTCATTCTGAACAAGAGTGTGTGGGCTTAAAATACAATATTTATTTAGAATCTTTTTAGTTTTGTTTGTATCAAATTTTTAGGTACATTTAAGGATCACAATAACATAGAATAATAAACAATTAAGTGCTTAAGTAACATTTTGAATTATAGAATGAACACTCAATCGCATAAGTGTTTAAGAGAAGGAGTATAATTAGAAT